TGTCGCTGCTTCCCTGTGCAAAGGACAACACAAAGCAGCGATGTTGCTGCTCACTAGGCCGCCATGCCTATCTTTGCCCCGAGGTTCCTTGGTGCGGCACTACCCCAACGGGGGCCTTCCAGATGCAGCACCTAACAAGGTGATGAAGATGGTGTTCACCATAGCCAGGTAGGTACCTCGCCACTCTCCTCCTTAGTCCCCTCCTCCCTCCTGCTCCTACCGGTAGAGCTCCACCATAGCCAAGGTGGAAGCTCCCGACTTCTTCATCCCAGCAGCGCTGCAGTATCCAACTCTACTCCAGCCAACGCTCCCACAACGTGTTGCCAAACTTGCACACTGAAGAATGAGGCCGAGCTCTTCCCTCGGCCTCTTGATATAGCGGCCTGCTTGCCTCCTGGGGTTGACTTCCAGGCCGCTCGGCCTCCCAAGCAACCAGTACCTCCTCCCTTTCGGAGGGAAACATCATTGCAGACTCTGATATTGCCCTTACAGGCTCGCGACTCAGACTGGATGGACTGGTACTGGCCTAGACCTAGCACACCGCTATTGGGCCTCTAAAAATGCCAACTTTGTCTTCTTCTGCTCGGCCTCGAGTACCCGACACATCTACTGCTACTGGGTGCGGTACCAGCCTACCTGCTCTAAGCACCGCGGGCCCCTGGCTCCGCTACTTGAGTGTTTTCCGTGCTGCAACCCTCAATGCCACGGCCACAGGCAAGTATCGGCCCTATGGGCCTGCCAAACAATCAAGTACCCTTGCGGGTCACACTCACACTCATACCGACAAGCACTCAGACAGGCACGCAGGTCAACAAGCACGCACACACACAAACTTAGAAAACTCAGCAAAATGCAGGAATCTCAGCAAGGCATGCATTCCATCGCCAGAACTTCAGAAATCAGCAAAGTTCTCAGTCTGTGTTATGGCGGGTCATTACACTACCCCCCCCCCCTAAAGAGCGAGGTCCCTTTGAGCGAGTAACGCAATCAGAGTCCCTGCATAATGCATCATAAGCATAAATGGCAAAGAAAGATCGGGTGTGTTCTGTAGGAGCGAGGGTAGCGGTAAATTTAGGTTGGTGTTCGAAGTTAATCAGTCGTTCATATGAGTTGACGACTCGCGGGGCACTCTGCCTCGACAATTCTGTCAACCTCGTGACCGCCCTTGATTGCGCGAGGAATCATCGATTCTCGATACGGAAAAGTTTTGGGTGGTTCACACAGAAATAACTTCGACGCGTGAAAGACTGGGTACGTGCACAGATGAGGAGGCACGTTGATCGTGTAAGGACTGAATGAATCCTCCCCTAATTGGTTCAGTACTTTCCACGGACCGTAATACTGGGGCATAAGCTTTCGTGATACCCCTTCTTCTTCAGAAAACTTAGACAATTTGACCTAGACATAGCTTCCCACTGTGAAACGTTCAAGCTGACGCTTTTTGTTAGCATGCTTAATCACGGCACTGCGTCACCTTCCCATAGCTGCAACAACTTTGAGCAAGCGATCAAACTTAGCGATGTAGGCAGGCTGGCCAGGTGTTAGGCCAGGTGTTAGGCCAGGTGGCGGATCAGGAAACAGGTAGGATAGGGGATTGCGAATCTGCCAACCGAGATGCTGCCGATTAGGTGTCATCCCAGTGGAGTGTATGGAGTTGTTGTACAATCCCTGTACAATCCGCAATTCCTCATCCCAAGAGTTCTGATCAGGCACAATTAGAGCTCAGAGAAGTTGAATCACAGTCTGGTTGCTCCATTCGGCCAGTCCATTGGCTTCGGGATGTCGGTCAGACGTCATCTTGAGTGTGATGTCGTAGATCTGGGAGGTGAAATCCTTCCAATCTGCACTTATGAACCTAGTGTCCCGGTCACTCACAAGAGTTTTCGGTGGCCTATACTGCAGAATGAACTTTTTGTGAAACTCTTTGATCACAAGGTCAGTTGGGTCGTGAGGTGGTAATGGGATCAGATTCAAAAATTTTGAAAAGCGGTCAACAATCACCATTACTTGTGAATATTCGTTCCTACTCTTCTTTCCCATATCCGTGAAGTCGATGGAAAGAGACTCACCCGGGCCATCAGGAATAGGAAGAGGATGCAGCAGCCCATAGGGATTTTGTTGAGACAGTTTGATGCGTTGACAAACTTCACACTCAGCCACAAACTTTCGTGCCATTTCTTTTATCCCAGGCCATACAAACTTTTGCAATAGACTTCCGTATGTTTTCAAAACCGAAGTGTCCACTCTGGCCATGAGTCCAAGAAGTGAGTACGGATATGTTCATGATTGGGTACACACAGGCGGCCGTACTTCCCGTAACGTCGGAAGAGCAAACCTTTACACTCATGGAAGTCAGGCTGACTACTAGGGTCAGCCTGGATTTGCTCAAGGATGGGACTGAGTTTCGGGTCCTTGGCAGTCAACTAGTTCCTCCTCCAAGTTCTTACGGAGGTCATAGGAGCCCACAAGACAAGTCATGTACTCAGGGTAGCGAGACAAAGCATCCGCAACGCGATTGTAACAGCCTTTCTTGTGCCTAAGTTTGAAATCATACACAACAATCTCATGTAGCCAGCGGGTCAATGTAGTTGATGGATTATTCTGTGTCTGAATCCATTTCAAAGTCTCATGATCTGAGAACACTTTGAAATGGCGATCCAACAGGTAGTGCTTCTAATGATCTAGTGCCTCTCTCAAGGCATATAGTTCTCGCATGTAATTGGAGGCAGCTACCTTGTGACGGGGCATACGTTTGCTGTAGAATTCGAGCGGACGTAAGTCGTTGCCATCATCTTGTTGCAGCACTGCACCAATCCCATACAAGCTTGCATCCGTAGTTACTACGAATGTAAGTTTGGGATCTGCAATGCGGAGCACTGGATGACTCGCCAGAGCCTCCTTGAATGCTTGGAAGGCTGTTGTGCATTCCCCATCCCATGTGTAGGACACATTCTTGCTGGTCAATCTGGATAGCTGTCGGGCAATGATAGAGAATTTGGGTACAAACTTGTGGTAGTATGACGCAAGACCAAGAAAAGAACACAACTCGCGGACATTTACCGATTGAGGCCATTTGCGGATGACCTCAATTTTGGTTGCCTTGGGCTCTAGGCCTGCAGCAGACAACCGATGTCCCTCCCAAACTCAAATTTCTCCAAGTTGAGATGGAGTTGCGCATCCTCGAGGATCTGCAACACTTCCTCAAGGTGTCTCATGTGCTTCTATCGACTTGCTGAAGATTAGTATGTCATCCGAATAAACAACAACAAATCGATTGATCTGATTGCGGAATACCTTATCCATGAGACTTTGAAAGGCGGCCGGTGCATTCGTGAGGCCGAAAGGCATGACTGTAAACTCGTACAACCCATCGCGAGTTTTGAATGGAGTTTTATGCTGGTCTGCATGGTCAACTTCAATCTGGTGGTAGCCAGACTTGAGATTGATCTTGCTGAAGACCTTACGTCCACCTGCATCATCAAGTAGATCATCAATACGCAGCAAAGGGTATGCATTCTTTCTTGTTATTCTATTCAGTCGGCGGTAATCGATACACATCCGTAGTTTGCCTCCTTTCTTCGGGACAAACAGAACCGGTGCACCGAATTCGGATACGCTTGGCTTGATCCATCCCTTCCCAATCATGTCATCGATCTGTCTTCGCAATTCTTCCAATTCACCTGAGCCCATTGGATAGACACAACCTTTTGGAGGGGTGCTACCTTCTATCAACTTGATCTTGTGTCGGACCGGACGCACGGGGACTCCATGCGGTTCGACCAAGACTTAAGGAAATCGATTGAGAATGTTGCGGATTTTTTATGGGACTTACGGAGGTGGATCATCACTTTCAGGGGCAAGCATACCGGATTGCATAGGTGCAACCAAAACAACAGAATTTGAAGCAGAGTCGTTTGGACTAGAAGTAGACTTAGTAGAGGTAGAAGTAGTTGCATTAGAAGGCACATAAGCAAGCCTGACAAAGGCTATATACATTTGCTCATCAAATTTGCGTCTACGCCACTTTTTGCAGAATTGCATTGTATTGAGAAAAGTTACTTGGGACTCGTGCGGCTCATACAAGAGGATTGGATGCTCGATTCCCATGGCATCTTTGACCATGAATTGTGAGTCCTTCCACGTGATTCTTTCACATTGGGCCTGCAACCAGCCCAAGCCAATAACTGCGTCGAAGGGGCACTTATCAAGGACATAGAAGTTCAACTCATGCGTGATTGTGCGGTCTGCGTCAAAGGTAGTGCGCACACCTTTGTTTGCATGCGTAGATGTGACAACGTCTTGGTTGCCCACCTGGGTCCGACAAGGGTTTTGCAAGGTCACTTGCTTCATTCCCAAGCGTGCCTTACGAATGTTGTGCGGTCAGAAGTAGTTGGCGGTTGAATCAACCAACGCACGGATGTAACGGCTGTTAATGCGGAGTTTGAAGAAGATCAACTTCGTTTTCCCTTGCACGTGTTCTTGCTTCATGTGAGCTCAGCGCGTCAAGAGAGCATGAAAGTCAATTTCTGCCGACTCCACCTAGGGTTTGCTGAGTGGGATCAGAATCCGTACCTGCACTTACATGTTCAGCCTCTCCGTCTGTAGAGTGTGCTGATGATGTCTCTACCCGCTTTGCTGGTTTCCCTCCTGCAATCTGAAGCAATGTTGGACTGAATGTCCCGGTTCCTGGGGCGCACTCAATAATTCCTTGCATCATAGGAGTGGGTGCATCTTGAAATCCGCGTTGCCAAGGCTCTGCAGCGTCCATATAAGCAATCTGAAATAACCATTCGTTTTTCATGTTGTATTGTATGTTCTCGTTTTGTTGATGGACCCGTAAGAGGTCGCGGGCTGCTTCACAAGTCGAGTAGAGAGGCAAGCAACAAAGCGCTTGTACAACGTCTCTAATCAAATGCAGGCAAACCCCTTTCTTCACCCTGTGTTTCCACTCACTTTCACTTATCAGGAGATCTACCCATGGTTTTGTGGCAGGATCTTCCGGTTTGGGTGGAATCTTCGTTCCCTTGGGAAGGACAATGGTGTTAGTGTTGTTCTTCACCGTGGTCCTTGGTCCCTTACTCGAAGGCATTCATAGATTCATCGTCATTTACATACTCAGACTCATGGGCTGATGAAGAGCAAGATGCCTCGCAGTCTTGCTCTTGAGCGTCATCAAGAGAAGGGTCCTCTGCAAAGGTCTCCTCATCAACCTCAAGTAGATCGTGTGCTGCAAAACGGTTGCTGCCCGAAAACCGTTTGCGGCCGGTGGTCTTTTCGCCACCCGATCCACCCGGGAGGTCTTGTGCCTCCAGCTTGACTAAATCCCGCATGAGAGTAAGCCAATCTGTATACGTTATGAGTCCGATCCCTAGGCGATGTGTCACAGTAGAGGGGACCGTACCTTTTATCACATCCAAGCAAGACTGCGCAGTAATCTTCGGATCCGGAGTAGCAAAGAGTTTACTAACATACTGCTGCAGACTATGCATGATGTTGGTCCACTTGCTGTGCTTGAGGTTGTCAAGCTTAAGTCTAGCTTTGGCTGCAGCATGTGGATCAACATATTGTTTGATCAAGAGTTCCTCGAGTGCGGCTATAGGCGTAGCCTTCAGCCATTTGTTCAGTTCTATTCTTTTATAGCCAGACTGTACAGCTTGGACTTCTAAGAAGCCCCTTACGACGGGTTCCACATTGGTCCCTAAGACCGACAACTGAGTAACCGGGGGTGTCCCCAGCACATCAAAGTAGGATCGCATAGAGCTGATCCAAGATTCAATGTCGTCCTTTCCGTCATACTTAGACATAATATGTGTCGCCTTGTTGTCCACGTAGGGAAATCTGCAGCTAGGACCAGCGATTGCTAGGTCCGAATTCGGAGCTGCAACAGTTCCAGAATGCCTTGCACTGCCACTTGCCACTGCAGCAACAGCAGCAGCAATAGCGGGGTCTGGACCTCCTGCAGATCCGGATAGGCTGTTGGCCACACTCAAAGAAGAAGAAGAAGAAGAAGAAGAAGATATGGTTGGAGGGGCAAGAGCGGACTGGGACGCAGCACTAGAAGCAGGGTAAGCAGGTGGAAGAACACTTTTGGTCGGCTGCAAGCTAGCAAACTGTTGCAGCTGGTCACGGTGCTGCTGCGCCATCAGGGCCATATCCTCGCGCAACTTCTTGAGATCATCAAACACCTTGGCGAGTTGGCCTGTATGGTCTTCAACAGCCTGGACCTCTACTAAAGCCCTGAGGAGTGAGACACTCTTCTCTTCCACCTTATCATCAGTTAAGGCGGGCACGGTACTGAAGACGGCTTCATGAGCTTTTACTTTGTCACCCCTCTCCTTCTCCTTCTCTTCCTCTTCCCTCTTCAATGCTTTTTCATAAAAGAACTGGTACTTCGCTTTTTCTACCTCAGGGGCAGAGTCCATTTGCAGCTTCCATTCTGTTGCAGATGCCATGATGGAGGACGAGGGTGTCAATAAGTCTCTCAAGAGAGGTCCGTACTTCCTCACACTTCTTGGACGAACACTCTTCTTCCCTCTCCTCACTCCCTCAAGAGCAACACTCAAAAGCTTTTTTCTTCTCTCTCTCCCTCTCGTTTGGGATCATGTAGACGCAGGCATTTAACAAACCCAATGAAAGAAACAGTCTTGAAAGCAACTAGAAGAGAAGGCAGAAGTTCTAGCCGGAGCAGCAATTCATTTGGACCGGAGAGCAGTCAAAACAACAAAAAAAATGAAAGATCGAAGAGATTTGATTCCGCCACACAGTCTGGTCCGACTACGTATGAGGTCCTTTCAAGCCTCGCCGGACTCAGCTCCGTGAAGACGCAGCAAATCAAATTCAAAATGTACTATGCAATGCAAGAGAGAATTGAGTGGTGTTCAAGGTGCGAGTCAGACGACAGATCGTGCAGTAAAGTATGTTAAAACGTCTCATCTGAGATCCCCTCAGCAGGGAGTGTCCTGGTCCGAAAGCATGAACTCAGAGTCCCAATCAGATAGAGCAAGGTAACTGACGTCAACAGATTTGGGCCTGAGGGCCCCTTCTTGTTTGGGCCTGGTCCCACTGAGTCCCAAATGGTCCCATTGGAGTCAGAACCGGGTCCCAACCAACAAGAGTTCCACAAAGACGTACTCTCTGTCCCTACCGAATTGAAAACGAAATCTAGCCCTAGAATGAACCCACAGACTACAGCCGATCAGAATGAAATAAACAAAGTATTGTAGAAAGATATAGCGTGGCACGCAAGATACTCGTTCATTCGCTCTTCAGGTGAGTGAGCAGTTCACAAACCTCACACAAGATCAAGACTATGGAGGATGGAAGAAGAACCCAAAATACCCCAACAGGCAGTCAATTCCATGCACATACACATGGGCACCCTGGTGGCACGGAACTTACCTGAGTGGCCGGGCTCTTGAGATGAAAGAAACTCACCCCCCTCTCACATAGTCCTCCTGACCCAATTAGCATCCTCTACACTAGTGTCCTATCATCTAGGAGGGTCAACATCTACCCCAAAGTACAACGCCGGGTCCCCGTCGATGTTGAAGATCAAAGTAGCAACTTGCAGTCTGTAGGTGTAGATATGGCTGCCACCCTCAAGCTCGCCTAACTTGAGGCGAGCCCTAAAGTCACTCCTCGTGTTCCTTGAAGTCCAGATTCCAGTGGTAGGTGCCCTTCACTGTCGCCTCTCTCAAATTATATCACGAAGTCCCACCTTGTGTCTCGCCACCACAAACATGCACTCAAGCTACCTGGCCGGGTCTAATGTCGACCCTACACGGCCCTGCCAGGCGGGAGCAGCTTCCCTTTACCACGCTGCCCCACTTAACCCTAACTTCCTTCCTAACCCGAAGTGGTTAGCCCTTACCACTAGGGTTAGGGTTATGG